TATTCCGTACATGGAGTTATACATAAGTAAATACCCGAGATCTAAGTTACCAGGAACGTGACAAGTAAGGGTGGTCAAAGTTTCCGGGGCCGACGCAAAAAAGAGTCATCTTTTGTTTCGGGAGGGACATTATTGGCTGGGTGCGACATCAAGAGGTGGTCTGTTCATTTTGGTTCGGCTTGTTTCATAAGAAACACTAGCATGTGAATTATGCCATAGAATGAGAATTGTGTACAGAGTACGGTATAGGTAAATTCTGAAGTAGCTGTCCAGTAGCCGAAACATTCACCGAGTCACCGACTCAATACTGAGGCTCTATCTAATTGCACAAGCAGGTTGACCACAAGCTAATAGAGCTATGCCTCAGCAATGCCATTATGATAAATCGAACCTGAGCATGCAATATAACGTCACAAGAAACAATCCGCACACCGCGACTCTACAATTCCAATCTCAACTCCAAATCCCTTCACGATCAATGACAAAAGAAATAAGAAATTTCACACGCATATCGTGGCTCGTTGCCTCGTACCTCTCCCGTCCCTGGTGTATGCTGTGTAACCGCATGGCACCCGTTGTCATTCGACGAACACTGTGCCCTGCAGTGGCGGTCAGACGGAGGCTGAGAAGACTGCATATATATCGCAGCCCCGCGCACGCTGCAGGCCGAGTGTACCTGCGTCTTTGCGCCGCAGGCTGGGATATTTGGTTCGATATTGAATGGGATCGATCTATTAGATATGTGTAACTAGGGGAGCATTATTGATTAGTTGTTTCATTTGAGGCTGTTGGAGTTTTGGGTTCATGTTTGTTATGAGCTTGCTTCCCCTCTTGTAAGTTTACTACCCCGCGAGGTGCAGCTATGCCACGGTTTCCAGGAGTTACACAAACGTCATGAGCAATTGTTTTCGCTAATCATACTTTGATAGAAGTAAATTACAAAGTATTTCCGCTACAACGAGTTCCTATCAAAGGATCAAAGGATTGCGGGGCCTTACGGAGACTCGACAGTTTATACCTCAAATACACAAGGCTACAAAGTTACTCAGATTCAGACATAGGATCGATACCGCCAGCTTGCGTACAAGTCACCAATACTTGATACAAGTTGTATCGCGATATTAATTTCCTTGGCACGTCACTTCGGCTCGAATATCATTGGACATGTAGATAGACGCAGGATGATCGACCGGGAAGAAATTCATAACTAGCGCCCGTCGCCACCACGAATCAGCCATTAATATTATGGCGCAAATTATTCACCTCAAGTCTCTGGTATTGAATAAATCATCCACAGTACGTACCCCGTAGGAATGTTTAATGTCCACTCCTGCCCCGACGAACTTGGAGCGTACAGTAGACCTGACTAGTTTGACCCAGGGAAGTGGTCGATGGGATAAACGTATTCATTTACTAATGGACGAAGACATTGTATCGAGTAACTTCTCGTGTATAGCAAGAACCTTATTGATACCGGTATCTAATACAAACGACTTGAAATTGAGAGACTTGCCCGAGCCAGTTACCCTCTTCAGTCCATACCATGGCCAGCGACTCATAGCAGAGCCAGGAACCCAAAGACAGGGAACGACTACGAAAGCAACGCTATGTACCAACCCCACCTTTCAAGCTCCACCATCCCTCAAGACTGTATTACGGAAATCCCCCGCAAGACGGCCAGGAAGCTGTCACAAGGATCAGGATGAACGGGACATACTCACGAGTAAGTTAGCAACATGCTAGCATCGACTAGCACGATCCCGCACAACGGTTCAGCCGCGAGCCGTGGCGCTCAAGGAATCGAGATATCTCAAACTCGAGGAAAATACAGTAGCACCCCTGTCCCTAATCCATGTCCGTGGGAGCCACTAGCCCAGGGAGGCGTACTTAGTACTCCGTACAAAAAGAAATGAAAGGTTCTCGCCGACGGCTACGCTAGCCATACTCTCTGGGGCCCCTAAAAAGCTAGTCAGCTAGTGTAAAATGGGCGATATTGTTCCTGCTCGCCGAATCCCGACCGGGGACCAGCGCCACGCGTAAAGTGTTTCTTTGTTTCGGGATCTAAGATCTCTAATTCTTTGCCTTTGGCTCTTGGCATTGCCCCTCGTCGCTCGAACTTGGAGGGGGCGACGGCGTGGTCCCAAAATTGGACTCGGCGGGGCGCTTTTGGCGTCTAGGATGGGGACGTTCTTTTTTAGGACGCAGGCGGAAGAGCTTCCGGGGTCCCAGTGACAAAGAATCGGGATCTGATGTCTGATTTTCTGAATTTGGCTGTGTACGCTCTTATGCTGTTGGTATGCTGGCTCCTGTCAAAGGGACTGGCCCAGCCGCAGACCCGAACAGTTTGTTAGGTGCAGATGGAGCTTTGGAGCTATCAAGGGACCTCCGTTGTGTAGACTATTTGATGACTGTCAACTAGTCGAGCAGTGAGTGAATTATAGGTTCTCATTCGATTGTTCGCATCCGGAGCGTTGTTGCCCCTTTTAGGCAATCGGGAGTTGGGACTCCGGCACATCACAGGGTAAGCAGAACGGCCTAGAGGATTGGCAATTCAATAGTTCAAACGTCCGTTCAATCTCGCATGGTTACCGACGAGCTTGAAGAGGGGTCCCTCTTTGCCACTAAACCGTTGAGTCCAGAACACTCGAAATCATTCGATGATCGTCCCCTGTTCATTTAGGGGCAGGGGGGCAAGGCAGAGGGGCAAATTTAACTCTCAAAGTATCGACTGGAGGAGCTCCACGGCGGGCTCGTTGTAGCACGTGTTCACCAGAAGCTGCGGGACTACTGTATGAACCTGGTCTGTAAAGCTCCCCTGTTGTGCCCCCTGAATGCCAAATGGAAATGGCGTGGTGTGGGGGGACTAGGGTGCACCGGACCTCTCGGGAAAAGACGCTAGAAGGAAAAAAATTGATGATCGGGTTCCTCGGGGAACGTTAACGTGGTCCACAAGGGAAAATCGCGTTCATGTAAGACGAAAGAGCTCGAATGGCGATGATGCGAAAAGGCTGTCGCTGCTGTCATATCAGCAAGAGAACTCGTGGTCGTTGCGAATTTCGATAGTTCCAACTCCCCAGCATAAGCCCCCGGAAACGCCCCCCACCGTCTCCGCGGCACGGTCCTTGGGACGGGATGGAAGGCGTAACATGATAGGTCTTGGCCCCCTTATCACCTTGGACTCGTGATGGAGTTTTAGAATTGAGCAGTTGTGCTTGTGCGGGACGGGACGTTGGAAGGGGATCATCGTCTCGTGCCCATGGGTTGATCAACGACGTGATAGAAGGGTGCGGTTGCGTTGGTTGGTAGTTTTGTTAGTTCGTATCTTCCGTTTGGTTCAAACAGCCACAGGGCACATCACGTCTGCCACAGTCAAAAATGTCGGAATCTGTTGATTGACTGGTCAGTTCGTCACTCGAGTGGAATGACTGGAGGAGGAGTGGAGGGAAGCACGTGCATTACTGGAATACCGTACATTACAATACGTCCTGGTCTTGCGATCTTTACACTCGTTACACTCGATACCATTTCTTACCATACACTCTGAATGGCATCACACGATTTCCTCTCCACGTCCTCCCGATCGCTCCTCCACCACAGATTATTCGCCTGGTCTTAGTTTGTCGCCACCTCCAGACGGGATGATCATACTCTGTGGCGAGTCGATCTGTCTCTTACATGCGTTGACGGTGGATATTCCTGCGCATTCAATCCTGCCGATTTGCCTCGCAAACCCGACAATGCGGGACAGACTACGGGCAGTAAAAGCAATAATTGCATGAGTATGTGTATACTCCATCCTTCGAACTTTGACACTTCGCTTACACGTCGATTCAACACCGCAGTCTCTTATCACAGCCGAGCTTCACTTTGAACACGGCCCCTCCTCGACCCTTTTGTTCCCCATCCCGCCCTCCCGATCGAGTGTGTTGTTCGAGCAACCATCCACACTTGGTCACTCAAGTGGGTGCGTGATGGCATCCCGAACCAGGAGTTCGCTCGAGTGTGGGGCTACTGCATCGACGATCAAGTGGATGCCGAGCTTCCCAAGCCTAGCGCTTACGCCAGTCACAGAAGAGATGACGGCGGGGCTTGGCTTGTTCGTGCCTGCTCTGACGACCAACGGAACGTGGTCTAATGTTGATCCTTTCTATGCTGGGCCATCGGGTGTTTTTCTTGTCTTCTCACCGGCCACCATCAACGTGATGGAAATTCCAACGTTTGCAGGAAAGGTAACGAGGGGAAAGCCTTCTATATGAGAGAATTTTCATGTCACAATTTGATATCACTCATCACTCCTCAGAATCCGGCATCAACATGCAGGAACGAAATGCAAAATTCCCCGGATGGTCTCAGAAAAAGGTTTAAGGACCGCGCTCCTCACGTCCGGGATACGATGCGGGTCCTCTTGCATCAAGCAGATTCTCCCCTCCACGGCAGAGCTGCACTGATTTCCTCGATAGGGATTTAACTCGTCCCAAGGAACCGGTCTAACACTGATCAGCAAAACCAAGTCCCCGACTGACGAAAATCACGTCACAGTCAATATCTAGTCCAGGAAACCACATGCGAAGAAAAGTGTTCCCGGCGCCCGTGAGAAACAAAAAAGATGTGCATCACCCGTGTGTTCCTGCAGCGTCGCGCACGAGCGCACACATAATTCTGCAATCCCGAAACCATCCAAGTCTTGCACGGCATTTGCTACACTTCGAGGGCGGGCTTTTTTTTTCCAAGACCTCGCCGCGCCCAAAGCTTATAGTTTCCGCTGTCGAAAATGTCAAATCCTGCAGAGAAAAGACCCTTCACGCACGGGAAGTAGTTCCCACCCTCGTGCAGAACTGGCTCCTGCTGAGTGGAACACGCCTACGCCCGACTTGCACGCTCGAAACAACCCCCATTTTTTTTCTCGCGGACCCGGCGGGAAAGTTTGGGTTACTCCTCCCATCTCTCTAAGGGGGATCTCTCCATTGTAGTAGGTTCCAATCTGTCGGGATCGCATCGGAATGACGATGGACCAGGGTGGCTGTCATGGATTCAAGGAAAGTCTAGAAAAAGCAATTGGCAAGTCGCCATCGCGAACTAGTCTGCGGTACGCAATACTTGACATCGAAAATTCGCCATAGTCCTACGCCATCATACAATACGGGGTCCCCCGTCCATCACATCGCATCTTCCCAGCAACCTGGTTCATGTTTATCTGTTCTCCTCGGACGGAGTCGAGTGGAAAAGGAGCGGGAAGTATCCTCCCTCGCCAATCGCTTGAAGCAGTGTGGCTTGATGCGATTCCCGATTGTCATTGACAATGGGTCTTGCCCGCTCGATCGGGAAGGTGAGTTGAGTTGTTTATTTCTTTTCCCTCATAGCCCGCCCCTAAACTCGTAAGACATCTTCAGCCCGTGTCAGTGTCAACGCGTATGGTATGCTAGTAATTGCATTGTGGTTCATGGAAGCGTTGAGTGCCCGATCCATGGAGTTCGGTGATAGTACTGCCCGGAGGACTCCGTATAATCTCAATGACTCGACCCATTGTTACAAATAGAAAGCCATTCGTGAAAGCTTAAACCATAAAGTAACCCTTGAACCTTGAACCTTGCACCCATTGTCTGGGTCCGGTACCCACGTGTATCGGCGCGGGTGCCAGTCCCTTGGATTTGGGGCAATGAAGATTTGTGGAAATGACGGCTTGAAGCTTATTGCTAGATAATGCTGTAGATTAAAAACTATATTATGATTAGGATAGGCAATAATGTGATTTGAGATAGATGAGTTGAATCCAAAGGTTGAAATGTGTACAGATCAGAATCTTCGGAGGTTCATTATGTTGAAATATACTGTTTCTTGCGGTATGATTGAAAGGTAGAAAGAATTCTCCGGAAAATATTTTGAGATGGGGCAAATCTGATGAGAAATTGTAGAACCTTGTAGGTACTTTTGCTGTGGTTGTCTATCTTCTTTCAATGTTACGAACAGAATGCGTCACTATATCCATTGACTTCCTTGGATGTTGTTCCGGGTAGCTGGAATTCGCCATTGCCTGGAGGTATATATTGTAGAATTTGCGTAGTATTTACATACACACACAGCACCCGCACCTACATACAACATCCGCTCAATGTTCGCTAAACAACAAAGCCCAAAAATATATCTCTTGGGTTTGGACTATGCTTGAATCCCTTTTATATCTACCGCTTTCCTTCCAAGAATAACAGGATGGTCAATTTCAAGATCCTGAATATGGCTAAGTTATCACGGTTGATAATGGATAATTAATGGAAGATCTATGGCGATGAAAGAGGGCCATGTTAGAAAACTATTATATTAAATCAGACACTGACGCTCAAGGTTCTGGAAAGATGAAAAATATATACTCCAACAGACAGTAAACCTTTAAGTCACAACTCGAGGCAGGGTTGCCTCGAACATTTTGTTATCAGTTCTAGTTGTTTTGCCATAAGATAGATTAAAGAAGAAGCAATACACAACATTCAGTGGAGTCCTTCAAGAATATGTCACCGGTCCAGTTATCTTGAAAGGCTGGGATATCTTCTTCAAGGAGATTTAGATGTATAGTCTATATACGTGTGAACAGGATATATTGTAGGGTAGATTCGCAGCCTTGATTACATTCTCTAGCTATCTGCTGCATCCCCTGATATACTCGGATGTTGCCTGCATTGGGATCCCCGCGCCATATATATGAAGCCTAGGTGTGCCATGGTCTTGTCAAAATGATTATCAAGACCGTATGGCTTCTTTGGGAGATTACTATTACTCTTGGATCTTGTTACGTGTTTGCTCACTTCACCCATTTCACCTCACAAGTCCCGATCATCCTAGCCTTATAATTCTTCTGATGTTTGATACCAAACACGAAAAAGATAAAACAGTTCTCTCCATGAATCGAACCCTCCACCTCCAGCTACCTACATACCTCACAACGATGCTCGATCCCCATCCCAAAATGCCGAGATACCTCACATTGCAGCAACGCGATGCCACCCCCAATAAACACCATCCCACAACTGCCCCATAACACATTCAAAAACAAATCTCAAGTGTCAATAGAAAGCTAAAAATGAGAAGAATCATGACCCAAAAAATAAAATGCAAAAAACTTGTGCCGCGAGCGAGGTCACCCTCACTCGCATCCCGCCCGCCCACTCTCCCCGCCTAGGGATGTGCCCGACCATCTGTGGAGCGATGCTCAACATCGGAGGCCAGTTTCCCCTCAGGGGCACACCCAGAGGTTCAACCACCAATTGTGGCGACCAAATATGGCCCTTCCACGAGGTAGTAACCAACTAGGCTACCGAGGGGGGAGAGTACCTGGAATGACTGGAAGTAAATGATAACACTCGTTGACGCTTCAAAGTGCATGCTTGACTTTTGAGTATTATTGACCAGTTTCTTGCGCAATTTGATATAATCATCCTCTGCACGGTATTTCATCGATCTGCTCGTAGATTCCATGGATATTTGGGGTTCAAAAAGGTCTCTTTTGAGCCATGAATAATAAGAGTATGCCAACCAGTGTGGTCGCTGGTATCTGTCAAATCGGTATTTGATATTTCCTTCCAAGATCTGTTCTAACCGGGCTCTCTGATTAATTCTACTACAGAACTAATGAGTAGTTAATACGAACCTTCATCTCCATTTGAAGCCGTTGTATTTTGTTATCAGCTGTGATACAACATCATCCCTTGCGGGAACCGCAGTGCACAGCATCATTAAGCCTTGGATATAGCACCAGGATAATCAGCAGTCAAACAAATCATTGAAACTGCAACATCCAAAATAAAAATTCAAATGGATTATCTAATCCAGAATTCTCCTCTAAGACGAATAACCCTGGATGGTATACCCTGACATACCCAAGCTTCGCCCCTCGACGCGTCGCGTCTGTCGAATTCCTCAGACCTGGAGCCGATCCTGAGAATTAATCCCACTGGAATGGAGTTAATTTTGTTCTTATGATACAGGAATCCCCTCGAATTTGTGCTTCTCCCCTCAACACCGTGGCCAACATACATACACCAACTAATTTCTCGCGCCACCTTGAGGACACCACACTATCTATCAAGGCAAGTCATATCAACGGTACGTGCTTTGATATACCACATACACATCAAATACTTTGCTAACGCGTGCTGCATCAACTATAGACAGCACAAACACGTTCAACATGAAGCTGACCGCCATCCTCGCCGCTATCTCCCTCTCTTCCATCGTCGCCGCGGCCCCTGTACCGACCGAATCGCGCCGAGGATTCATCCCCAAGCCAATGGACCTGATTGAGATGATGTATCCTCACTCAGGAATTCCCAAGCTCGCGGGCAAACTTGAGAAAGATTTGAATATCTGTATGTCATTCTTTGATGTGAAGATTCGAGGATATAACTGACGAGTATTGTGACAGAATATACGAGAGCGATATCATTACGAGGAAGGCAGGAATTACGAGATGCGAGGGATCGCGTGGTACTGTTTAGTCGCCTGTTATGCCATCAGAGCGCAGGTTTACGAGTCCGAAGATTTACCTGATATCAAAATCTAATATGAAATGACCAGAACAACAGAGTTCATTGCAGACGTCCACTCGTAGACAGTCGGTATCGCATCATTTGCCCGCCCACTGTATAATAATCAAACAAAAAAGAGTACAACGCTAAAACATGCCCTCCATATCCAGATCCAGGAACTCGGGATTACCCACCGCCATATCCGCGGCGTTGAGCACATCATCGATCGCATCCATCCCGCCAACGCCCCCATCAAGCCCCATGTCTTGACCAACGCCACCATCCATTCCAGCCGCGGCAGCCGCTGCAGCCTTGTCAAGCATCTGGTCAATATTGCCCGGATCGTCGTCGCCGACGCCAGTACCGCCAACGCCACCACCCGTGGCGTCAAGGTTCATGCGATCCTGGCTATCGACGCCGAGTTCCATGTTTTGAATGATGTTGCTAACGTCAATGTTGGACACACGAGATGGTGGGGAAGCGAGGAGGCCGACACGACGCCAGAGACGGACGATGACTTCTGCGCGGAGGGCATCTTTTTCGGAGATCTTGGGTACATTTTCGTGTTGGAGGGAGAGGGAGTCGCGAAGGGTGAGAATTGCGCAGCGTGGTAGGGATTCTTTGGTCGGATCGACTGGGTGACAGATGTTTTGGTCGACAGCGAAGGACTCAGGCATGGGGGCGCAGATCATGGTTGCCGCGATGTCCAGCGCAAGGTCACCGCTGCCCGCTTCGGTCTGTTGTTTGAGCTCGTCGATTAGTGCACTTAGGACACGCGCAGAGCCGAGGATGCGGATTCCTGCGAGGAGCTGACGGTGGGTGTAGGACTGAGGTTGAAGGGAGATTTCCGAGCTTGCGCTCCACAAGGTGAGAGATTGGAGAGCCCCACGGATACTGCCAGGGAAACCGCCTGCTGCTGGGGCGGCCCAAATCTCGAGTTCCGAGCGAAGACAGCTACCGACGCGTCGGAAGGACAGGTATGGATCCAAGGCGTCAAGGATTGGTTTGATGTCCGAGATCTTGTCAATATTTTGCCGAGCTTGGTGTCTTGTCCGAACGTCTTTCAGTTGTTCCTCCAATGGGCGAGCGGTGATATGCAAGACAGTTTTGTGAATGGCTTGCGCTTCACCAGAAATGGAGCTGGGCTTGATCAGAGAGTACAGTGTCTTCAGAGGGATCTCGGGCTCGGTTTCTGATTGCCAGATGTGGTTGCCGAGCCAAGTAAGTGCGACAACTAGAGATGGGAGCAAAAAGGGCTCAAGAAGATCTAGCTGTATGTCAGAAAGAGTAATCTAGAAAGGGTCAGCATCCTGACTCACATTCAAATCCGCCCTTGAGCGTCTCAAAGTCCATCTTCCCTGATTCGCAGGCTCCAAGACTCTGATCGAACAAAGTCGCAACAAGCATGTAGAATTCCTGCGGGCTACACGTTGACATAGTCTCTTCATTGATACCTTCAGCAATGAACAAAGCCCCTATCCACGCACCAAGATCCTTGTTCTGCTTCTCACTCAACTCGGTCAGCTTCTGGCTGCAAGAGCCGCGATCCAGCAGTTTCAACAAGAACGAGTCGTTGCTCGAGATGCCCATGTCAGCGGGGCTCAAGTCGTATCGGTACTTGAAGACAAGCACCAGTAGAAGGATGCTGCCGAATTCATCGTAGACGGGCTGGTTCTCGCCTTGATCCTCATCCCATCGCCAGGAATCTAATAGAGTGCAAAGAGGCTGCAGGACTTGCTTTGTAGTCCGGAACAAGAGGATGACATCCAAGGTTTGTGGGCGTCGAGAAAGGGAGTTGCAGATGTTTTTCAGAGTCATTGTCTCCTTCTGGTTGCAGAGATTGAACATGACCTAACAAGACCGTCAGCTGAGAAAAGATCCACGAGGCGAAAGTGACTAGTACAAACCTCAGTGATAGCACCGACAATGGCACCTGCATTGCCCTCCATCGACTCGATCTCACCGATCAACTGCTCAGCGCGCTCGGGTCTGCTGTTGATTTGTGAGACGAGGTCGTCCTTCTGGTAAGGACCGCCCACTGGTACGGTCTGCATAGGGTTCTCTCCTAGCAGCCGCTCAATGCTAGACTCCTGGATGAGTCTGTGAGACGCACAAGCAAATAGGAACTCCTGGCGGGCATCGGAGAGAATGCTACTCCCTTGCATGGAGAACATTTGAGAGAAGGAGGGGAACGAATTTGGATCAAGCCGGCTGAGCGCTTGTGTGATGCACATCTCCATGGGAATAGGCACCATCGATGCTGCAGTCAGTGCGACAAAGAAGGCCGGGAGCTTGTTAACCAGGAAAGTCCGGAACAGGAACATTGTCCGGCTGGACTCGTTACGGTGGACGCCATTGCATAGGACGTCGAAGGCGGCCGTTGTGATCTCCACCACCAAGACTTCTTGGTGGCCCTGAAAGGAAAGTGGGTTAGGACGGGGCACTAAGGACAGGCTGAGAGGTAAGAGGGGCGCGAAAGACTCACTTCATAGCGATTGGTGAGATAGTTGATTAAAATCGAGTCATCAACCAACGGACGTCCCACAAGCTAACACCGAGTCAGTATTAAAGTCGATAAACGGTTGCAACATCTCGTACCATGGAGTTGAGATACACGTAGAGACCAGCTCTAGTGTTGATGAGCGGCCCGTCCATCACCGAAGCCTCAAACTGAAGGGCATTGACATTCATGCCCTCGATAGCCGAATGGTCCAATTGCTTCGAAGGTTGCTCTCCGTACAGATTGAACTCCTTCTGCAGTGCGTCTAGCCTGTGCCGCAGAGGCAGGGACACGTCGACGCACAAAGGTAGATAAGAGGTGAGAGCCTGACCAAGCTTTGTTTTAAACTCTATCAAAAGGTTAGTGCCGGGGAAGGCGCATTTTCGACCTTTCATCTGATGAATGTAGGTGGCATACCTTGATGATAGTCACTGGATAGTGTTTCCAGACCCTTGGATGTGCCGGACAAAGCCGCCAGTAAGATACCGAGCGACTCAAACAAGGATACGGCGTCGAGGGAGCTCATCAGACCACCGGTTTGCTGTGAGACACTGGTATTGTGCCATTCAACAATAGCCATGATCCATTCCACCGTCGCGTCAAAAAGCTCTGCCGCCTCTGCGATGCGCCTGGGGATTGTCCCAGCTGAGATGGAAAGCATGACATCCTGAATGACCTTGATGTCGGTCATTAAAGTTGACATCTTGGGCTTTGATTCCGATTTTTGGCGAATGGACGAGTGCGCCAGTAGTCTTCTCAATGCTGACGCCGCCTTGACCTGACCGACCTTGCACAGCCCATCGACGTAGACCGGCAAGAGCGGGTCCCAGGCGATGCTGGATGCGGCGCGGGCCTCGAGCAGAAGATCTAGCAGGTCATTTTCTTTCAATGGTGATCGACTCTGCATCAACTTTGATAGATCCTTGAACTCATCAACGTCTACGCGATGTGCCAGACATCGCTGGACGAAGGTTCTCCATTGATCGGGTGACGCCATATCTGACAGCATTGTGATGAGTGAATGGGCATAACAGGGATGAATACCCGAATCTCAGGTTTTATAATTGGGATTCTCGATCATAAAGTCATTCCGTGCATCGCTGCCTTGACGTGAATGGAGTCCATCCCCAATTGGGCGGAGGGATGATCGGGTCTGTTTGGCCGGGGTCACGTGGCTATCTTTCTCAAGTGCGTCACGTGTCTGCCTCACAGGTAGCGACCGCGATTAAGGAGAACCCCAACCACATACACTGCCTTCCATTGATGACCGAGTCATACTCCTCTTTGGAAAAAAAATGCCCGAGAAAGAAGGTTACTTGAAAACATTCACTGACTGTACCCCCTACAAGGATGCCATGGATTATTTTTCTCGCTTGTTGTTGATGCCTCAGGCCTTAAAAGGCTGCCTTGTGATATCGCAGCCTCCTCGTATGATGAGTTCAAATAAAGCATCATATTCATTAACATTGATTTTGTTCTAACAAGCAGAATAATCAATATGTGTTTCAGGGTATCGACAAAGGTGGGCAAGATTCACTCATTTATTTCTGCTTGTGGTTCAAGAGCACCTTGTAAGACTCAATATCCAATCTACTTGATAGTCTCTCCAATTCCTAAGGATATACCTGAGAGAACAACTACCATCATAGCCAAAGTTCTTGATTTTTAGATTAATCATCCCCAAATAGACAGTACAGGCACAAATGACTTGGACCGGATGATTTCATACATTTTATTCTGCTGGTTACTTTCGAGAATCTTAAAATAATGAAAAAATTGCTCAGTATAGACACAAAGAGCTCGCCAGTTCTTGCTTCTAGTATAGACGAGGTGCGAGCGAGTCGTGGCTACATGTACCCACACATTTTATCTGTTAAGCCCACAGGTTGTGGCTACAGGCAAATGAAACAGTGACCTACGTGATTGGCTGGATAATGTCCTTCCGTGATCCACCCGGACAAGTCTGACCGAACGAGACTTTTTCCACGGCCCTCCACTAGTCCAGTCCATGGCTAACTATTTGGTAACATTGCCTCATATTCAGCTGAAATCCTCCTGCGACCAAGAGTAATATCCTAACCATCCACTCAAGTGCCGAACTTCTTGCCGAGATATCTCTCTCCAGTTACCAATGTCAGAAAACGCAGGCCCTATCGTCAACTGCCACGACGGAGCAGCGGCTACCAAAGACAAAAGCTCACTGGAACGAACCCTTTACTTGTTTGGTCAACCAATCGCTCATTCTGCCTCTCCATCCTTCCACAACACCATTTTTCGTGAACTGGGCTTGCCATGGCGATACATCAGACTCGATTCGAAAGACACGGAAGACTTGGCGTGGCTCATGCGCCGTGATGATTTCGTCGGTGCGGCTGTCACCATGCCCAACAAGGTTCAATCCATGGATCTTGTTGACATCTTGACTATTGAAGCGCAACGAATCGGCTGCATCAACACGATTTATTCGCGACCTGACCTGATCGGTGGCGAGGAAAGACGACTTCTCGTTGGAACGAATACCGATTGGATTGGCATTCAGCGTGCTCTTCTAAAGGCGAACACCAACCTGCGAAGCTACTTGGAAGAATCGCCTGCGCTAGTTATTGGCGGTGGCGCAACCTGCAGGTCTGCAATCTACGCTTTGACAGAGGGGTTAGGCGCCAAATTGATTTACTTGGTCAATCGTGATCGAGAAGAAGCCGTATCCACCATCAAAGCCCTCAAACAAAATGGACTGCGACAGGAAGTTCGATATGTGGAAACGCTGGATGATCTACAGTCTATCTCCAAGTTTCCCGTTGTAGCAGTCAGTGCGGTGCCTGATATAGCTCCGAAAACCGAATCCGAGCATACCGCACGGAGCATCTGCAGTGCAATGATACAGACCAAGTCTGATTGTAATATTCGCAAGGTCTTTCTGGAGATGTGCTATGATCCAACTCCCTGGACATGGCTTGCAAGCTTGGCAAAGGAACATGGGTGGGACGTTGTGGATGGGTTAGACGTTATGGAACACCAGGCTATTGAACAGGCGGTTCTCTGGACAGAGAGACCTCTTGATGAGCTCCCTTCGGAGGCTGCCAATGAAGCGATCCGTCGGGCTTTCCATCGGTGAGGCTTCATATCTTTCCCGAGGGAATTGCAGTCAAGTCTTGATTTGCTATTATTGAAGTATTTACATTTGATAACGTCATACACCGTTTAAAATTCGTAATATCATGAGCCAGGATCACAGAAGTTGTAGAAGTCGTCTGCAGAGGGATTCCCAGTAAAGCCAAGATTCAACAGTCCTTCTTCCCAATTATTTGTCCTGTAAAAAGTTAGCTAGCATCCTCGAATTGTGTCAGAAGTATAACGCACCACTCAGAGGTATCTATTGCCACGAAATCATTAAACACCGAGTTGCTGTCCGGAATAATTTCATTTCGCTGAGTTGGATTTTGGGGTAAGAGGCCTGGCTCGCTGTTCTGGGATTCTCCTGCATTCAGGTTTTGTGGCTGTGCAGAAGGCGCTTGGAGGTTATTTGAATGAGTATTGAGCGTCTTCGCTGATTCCGTACAGTAATTGCCAGTGACCGGTAGAGAGCCTTGCCCCTGTCCAGATGATTGGGGCAATATGTTCATCAGACTTGAGAAGATATTATCCAGATCTGAGCGATTGTTGCAATGTGACTGGAATAGACTTGCGGCTAAAATAAAACATGGAGATGTTAAAGAGGGAGGGTCGGTCTTTTTGAAGTAAGCCCATAGGGTTGCAGAGCATTCGGTATAGCATGCGAGGTTCTCGGAACTTTCAAGGGGGTCTGGTGCATGTCCTCTTGGTCCCACCGATTGAGAACCTAGCCTGGAGAGCACATAAAGGTAGACCAATCGAAGAAGAAGATGATGTGGCAACATTCTTTCTTCAAGAGGGAGGGACACATTGGGCTCTCGAAAAATAACTTCAAAAGGCTGCCGAGTCTGTCCCTTCCGAAGTTCATCGCTAAGAAGCACTCGGGACGCAGTTGTCATGGCGCAAGGTTGTGCAACATGTATAAAATTCAGAGTTTTGCAGACATTGACCAAATTGTTGAAAGTAGACAGAGCAAAGATAGGTTTGCAATGAGCTTTTGACGGGTCTGTTTCAAGAGGGTCAGACCAAAGATCCCATTCATCCAAGCCATCTTCTTGGATGGCGCTGACCCGGTCAGCGTCTTCTTTGCGAAGATGGGGCGTTCTGTTCAAGAGACAGGACACCAGTGTGTCCATAATGAAGCACCCCAAGAAAGTGTGTTTATATCTTCCTGAGACTTCTGTAGCACGAGATTGCAATTCTGTATTGGAGCGTGTGGAACCCAAGTCCAGATCAATAGCAATTCGCACAGCCTTGCCAATGAGCATCCAAACAGAAGACCATTCTGCCTGGCAAATTTTGGTAAGACTCATGATCAACAGGGCTTGAACATGCTCGAGTTCAAATGGCCCCTCCTCGGGAGGTATGAGCTCCCGTGCTTTCGCATAATATTCTTTAGCCAGGGTTGCTGAAGGCTCATCACCACCGGGAGCATCCACAGAGTCTCTACGATTAGAAATTTGTAGCGTTGTCAATGCAGCGATTGCCCAAATAATAGCCAGTGGGGATTCTGTTCGCATGCTGTCGGACCCTTCGCCCAGTGACTGAAATGAGAAACGCATGATATTGCCTTTGTCCACTATTGGCAGCCAGCAGTGTGTATGCGTGAAGTAAATGCTGATTAAACGACCCAAATTTGGGGGCAGTCTTGTCTCAACTATTCTCGGTTCATGCAATTGAAATGAGAGTGCTGATGTATCGAGAGCAACTGAGACTTCAGCATCAAGGGCATGGTTGTCAACAAATCGCCCACCAGAAAATGTTTGATCATAACCCGGGAAAGGAAGATCACTGTCACCAGCTGACACAGGGCCCGCAAAGCGTCGAGGGGTGTTATCAAGCTCAGGCTCTCGCCCTTCAAACTTTCGTTTCGAAGATTGTGATTTCGAATTCGGTAGAGAGGGCAACAAGTTTTCAAGCTCAAAGGATAGCTTGCTATTTCTCCATATGTCGAGAAGCTCCTCCATACCATCTTGCCACTCATAAGATCCCCCTTCTTTCTTCATCAAGAGCAGCGAAAGGAGGGATCCTTCAAAGTCCTTAATGTGTTGAATGGAGAGGCTGGCCAGAAGCTCCATCCCACGGACGTATCCTTCCGGGAGACCGCGCTTTCTGATATGCGACTCATAAAGACATGTTTGACCAGCTTGCTTACACGTCGAGCACTCGGGTTTCTGACCATCACACTTGAATTTCCGCTGCCGACATCGTTGGCAGGCCTGCGCTACACGCTTTCGGGTCGGATTGACCCCCATCGATGTAGCGTGAATTGAACGTACTGGACGTAAAGGAGACGCCAAATTTCGTCATAGGACAGATGCATGGACGTCTATTTTCCAGCGCATCCTTGTATTTGAGGTCCGTAAAGTGAGGAGTTATTTTTGAGGCATTTGCCGTAATGAGCCATGCCAATGCGAGAGAGAAAGTAACTCTAGAGAACATGAGAAGTACGTTCAAGTCCCGAAGCGAACCTTCAAGTGGCGGGGTGACAAACTTTACAAAGGCATAGGTATGGGGAATGTAAAGTGACGCTCCACTCATACCTCCTGCATAATTATTTAATAGCCCACTCGTCAAAAACAATGAGATTTTCTATAGCTTGGATAACCGAGCCTACTCTAGGGGTATCGGTCATGGCATTTACAGCTCCTCTCCCTCATATTTTACCCCAAAGTTATAATCTTTCTCTTTGTCTGTAACGGCGAAAACGGTTACATCGGATTGATTTTATCCGTGGATGATGACATAATCGCGGCGCGTTTTCCCCATCTACCCAGCATTTGCGCTGCGGCGAAAATTAGCGTAGAGAAGCTATCAAATGATCATATTAAAAAAGAAGATCTTGCGGTCAAAAGAATCGACCTCTACATGCATTGCCTTTGAGCTGGCTTCAAGATCCATCCACAGCATTCGTCTTTAACGGAATGTCCCACCAAACTTGTGCCCTGTCGTCCAAAAGCCCATCTATTGTATTGATCGGGTCACGGGGATGTGGAAAAAGAACACTGGCGTTTATTGGAGCTCTTCACTTGAGGAAAAGGCTTGTCGTCGCAGATCGGTATTTTGAGACTGTTACAAGCTTATCTCGAATCGAGTACCTCCAAAAATATGGAGAAAGCGCCTTACAGCAACGGACAGTGGAAGTTGTCTTGAGTATGCTCCGCGAGAATGATACAGACTGTGTCATAGAATGTGGGCTGGGAAGCCTCAGTACCGAGGTTCAACGATTTCTCACCCAATACAAAGCAACTCATCCGGTCATTTACATTATGCGCCATTTCGGCGACATCAAAAAACTGCTCAAGCTAGACGAATCTAATGCAAAACGGCTCGAGGAAACTGATTCAAAACACCGATCCTGTTCAGATTTTGAATACTACAATATCTTTGATCCTGGCGCAAGATCTCAAAGCATGTCGGAAATCGCCTCGTCTTCTCCTCAGCATCTTAAGCAGGCAAGGGTCGATTTTTGCCATTTCTTAAACCTCGTTTGTGGACCCGATATCGACTTCATCTCGAATCCTCCAAGTCCATTTGAGGTTGCATTCGAGCCAGTGGAGAATCGTCCATTTAGTTATGCCCTAGCAATAAAGCTCTCCGAATTGTGCCACGAAACCTTCGACCACAATCTACTCGAGGCGGGTATTGATGCTATACGTTTGCTCGTCGATACCAACGAGGGCTATTCCTTGGAGCTGATAACCGAGCACATTGCATTTATCCGTCGAACAATACAACTTCCTATCGTTTATGAGGTGATCGGATTTGATACTTTTCAACACGAAGAGTCTGCTGCCTTGCAGAACGATTATGTGCAACTGGTTCACCACGGGATTCGCAATTGTGCAGAATATGTGGTGGTCAATATTGATATTGAAGAACCGATCTTGCGGGGGTTGATTTCTCAGAAAAGACGAACGAAGATAGTCGGCTCCTTCCATGATCAAGATCCTGCTCAACATTCGTGGCATACACAACCCCGGTTGGACAAGTATCGACATGCTCAAAATCTGGGCTGCGATCTTGTTCAATTGACTCAAGTTGCAACAAGCAGAGACGACAATGAGGAACTTGTCGCCTTTTTTTGCTCCATCTCTTTATTATCAGACCCGCGTCTTCCCCTTATTGCCTACAACCTCGGGCCACTGGGCAAGAGCTCCATGGTCTTCAACAAAATCTTGACACCGGTCCGCCCAGCAACACCGCTATCAGATTTCGACGGCAGCTTCATCACGGCCCAAACAGCCATGAAAGGCCTGTTTGCAACATTCGTTCTCGACCCTCTAAAATTTTACCACGTTGGAGCATCTGTGTCGTGGAGTCCATTCCCGCCTGCCATGCATACCGCTGCTTATCAAGCGTGTGGCCTCGAACATTCATATCAAATATTTGAGACACACTGTCTCGAGAACATAGAAACGATTATTCGGGACCCAAATTTTGGCGGTGCGAGTGTCAGTCTACCCTTCAAAACAAGCATCATGTCCTCCATCGATATCCAAAGTCATCACGCCAAGGCGATTGGTGCTATCAACACACTTTTGCCTCTTCGCGAGTCTCCTGGAAATGAGTCATTTTCCGCAGAATACCAAGCCTCTCAACGTAATAGGGCTGGCCGAGTGATTGGCTGGTACGGCGACAACACCGATTGGTTGGGAATCTTCGAGTGTGTTCATCGAAATCTGTCTCCGAGAAATGCGATTCAACCTTCAAAAACGACAGCACTGGTCATTGGAGCAGGTGGAGTTGCTCGGGCGGCTGTTTATGCCTTGATCAAATTGGGATGTCGGAAGATTTTTATATTCAATCGCACATCGCAGCACGCCAACCAGATGGCAGAGCACTTCAATTCGTGGGCTCGAAGTTTGTCGTCGAATTCCGCTACTGTCAGTGTGATAGGCTCGATCGATGATCCTTGGCCTTCCGGTCTGCAACCAGCTACAATAATCGTCTCCTGCATTCCTGCACACAGTATAGATGGTCAACCACCCGCGAATTTTACACTTCCAGAGTCATGGATTCAAAGCAAGTCTGGAGGAGTTGTGGCTGATGTAAGTTGTTCTACCCCTCTGCTCTGTCGTCATGATCACCTTACGGTTTATCTAATTCAATAAATTGTCAAAGCTTGCATATCGGCCGTTAGAGACCCCTCTTTTGAAACAGATTCGCCACCTGAGAGCAACGACTAAGATACCTTGGATTACTATTGATGGTCTCGAGATGTTGGCAATACAAGCCATCCATCAATTTGAGTTGATGACAGGAAGAAGGGCTCCTCGAGCAGTGATGAAGAGTCAGATTACCAGATTTATGATAGAGTAATTTGTCAAAATCAATTCCATGTTCCTATCGAATCAGATATCGATATTCTCACCGTCCATCCAAGCCTTGATCTGTCTATACAGCATGTCGTGCTTCTCTCTATTTACAGTGCCAATCTCGCGCCTGTGACCAGGTAAATCCTTGATGACTGTAACACCCATGGTCTTCTCTTGGCAATATCCGAGGTAGCGGTAACCAACGGGGAACTTGTTCAACTCCTCCAGGTTGAGTTCTGGGATTCTGTTCGGGTTCACGGGGATCAACTTGTCCTTTTCATAAAAGTGGCGCACAAAGTTAGCTCCCCAGTTACCATAGACCGGATCTTTGCTCCAGAAGAACACAAATCGACAGTCCGACTCTGCATCGGCTTCGATTCCATCCAGGACAAATCTTTGGGTGATGGTCGCCTTCATCTTGGTCACTGCACGGGTAGCTGCCACGTTTATATCTGTGGACAGTCCGTGGATGCGATGCATGATGAATGCCCCATTGTCCATTCCTCGTTTTGATGCTTTGATGAAGTCTTGAAAATGGGTCCGTCCTGTCCAGGAGGTGTAGATGTACGCATCCTCATGGAAAATGGATTCCAGATTCTCCCATTCACAAGAATCTCTGTTAAAAGGAGATTAGACTCAAATAAAAAAAAGGTATCTTTCAATCTGTAACTCACCTGTAACACGGCCAGCCCTCGGCTAGTTCACGTAGTTTGTATCGCTCAATGGCAAGGTCCACGGGTCCATTGTTGCGAATAGCGGCCACAGGCCGAGAGCCTTCTGGAAGGGTATGAAGATCGGGCATTGTTGGAAGCTGGACAAAATGGTCTGAAAACAGATGTTGGGTTTATGGAATATGCCGTTGCTGGCCTATTTGTGTTGTTATGTCTATCCCGACTTTATGGAGGGTTTGCCACAAAGGGTAAAAACACTTCCGTTGCTCCACCCACCTCCATCGCTGGACCGTTACCACCATCTACCGAGGAGCGCTCCACTATGTGGGTCTTCAAGCACTCTATTTTCCGACGTTAACCTTCATAGGGTCCTACATTGTAGAATATACGCCTCTGTCATTCGGAAATGGAGAGCCAATAGAACTCTGGCAGGAGTTTTGGGTCCGACCCCTGGGCACAATGATTGTATCAGGTGACCTGCACTAATGCTCGTCGCTTTTTCAGCCGCAGCGGGGATAAACGCCCACCCCTACTAACACGTCTGCTCACTGGAAGGTCAAAGATGGCGCGAATCTCGGATCTCATCACGGATTCCAAGCTACCGGCATCTTTTCTCCCCGACTGTAGTGTGGAGACGGTCCACCGATTCCAGGAGTCAGACCCAGCTTCTAGACAGCGCCTCGTGATCAGACCCGAGCACTGGCGGCGACAGAGAAAGATAGGAGGTGGTGGATTTGGTAGCGTCTGGCTGGAGGAATGCACTCAAGGGGGGCGACTAGGCGCTATGCCCGTCCGAGCAGTCAAGCAGATTAACGTGGATATGCGACTTGGACCGATCGACTATAATCGTGAGTGAGAGGCTATTGCGAAGTTTTCGCATCCACGTGTCAGTCTCTTCGAGAAGATCTATGTCGAGATATACTGGTTCAACTAGTATGAACGATGCTTTGTCAAGTCATTCGGATGGTACGAAGCGCCCGGTCAGCTCCTCATAGCAATGGAATACCTCGAACTCGGCGACCGCTTCACGTATCTTTATCGACAGCCGCCAGGGCCGCCACTACAAGAAACGGAGGCGAAAGAAATTACATACCAGATTCTCGATGGTATGAATATGATGCATGATAATGGGTTCGCTCACCGAGACCTAAAGCCTAACGTAGGTTACTTCCTGATTATACGAAGAGGGTTTACTAAGTATTAATCTAGAATATTCTTATCAAATCACACCCTCCAAACGAGTGGTGGATTAAGCTCGCCGACTTTGGTATATCAAATCGTTTTGAAGAAGGCTATAAGCAGTTGACGGCTATACAGGGCACCCCAAGCTATTTTGCCCCTGAAATATAGGGATACGTTCCTCGAGGCAGTGCGTACGCCACTGATATTTGGGCTCTTAGCGAGATTATAGTTATTTGAGATGCTGACTAAGAAACATACCTTTAAGGATCCTGGGTTGCTTTCAACTTATAAAACCAAACCGCAGTTCCCAGTCTCCAGGCTCACCGGTGTTGGAATCAGTCAGCCAGGCGTCGACTTTATCCTTTCTCTCATGCATCCTTATCCCAACGACCGAGTGACTGCAAGGTCTGCTATTTCTAATATGTGGTTACAACCGCTGATATCCCACTTCCCTAAATCAACAACAATCATCAATGGCAAGCCACATAAACCCTCTTCAGCCGCAACTTCGAATGAAGAATTTGCGTCATGGACTACAAAACCCTCCCCAAAAGCGCCGTGGGCTGGCGAAGACTCTATCGACCCGTATTTAGCACAAGTGAAGGAAAGATGGAGCGTGGAATCCCAGCTTCCCGGGAGCCATTCACACAACGTTGAGTTGGTAACTCTCTCATCCGACGACAGAACGCTGGCGTCTAGCTCCCGTGATCAAACGGTGCGGCATTGGAAACCTGTTATCGGCTCACTACATCGGATTCTCAAGCATTCATGTCAAATTAGGTCGATGGCATTCTCCCCTAGTGGTCAGCTGCTGGCGTGCGGATGCAGTGATAACACGGTGCGGCTTTGGGATCCTATGACGGGCGCACTACTCCAGACTTTAAAACATGTGGCTGCTGTTGGGACGGTGAATTTCTCACCCAACGGCCGGCTCCTGGCGTCTGGCTCCGATGATGGCAAAGTGCTGCTCTGGGATACGGTGACGGGAGCGCTATGCCGGACCATTGACAGGGGCGATTCAGTGGATGATAGACGGATTGGGGTAGCCTTCTTGCGCGATGTGCGGTTGCTGGTATCTCAACCTTATAAGAACAAAGTGCGGCTTTTGAACCCTGCGAAAAAGTGCCCTTCTGGGACCGTAGGACGAGTGCGCAATATCAGACTATCAGCATTCAGGCACCCTGAAGTCAACCGCCTTGTCGCCCGACAGCCGGGTGCTTCCGTGTATCTGCGATGCAAAAGACGGCGAGCGCACAGTGGAGCTTCGGGACATAGCGACGGGCGCGCTACGCGAGACTCGCAAAGGTCATCGGAAATCATTTTTCTTGCTTGCATTCTCTCCCAACCGCCGGATACTGGCGTCTGACTTCCCGATGCTGGTGTCTGTCTCCAGTGGTGTAACAGTGTTACTTTGGGACACGGCGACGGGCGCGATACACCAAACTCTCGAAGGCCACTCAGCTTTGGTCCGCTCGGTGGCTTTTTCGCCTGACGGCCGGGTCCTGGCGTCTAGCTCCCATGATCGAACCGTGCGGCTTTGGGACACGGCGACGAGCGCGCTACAGCAGACTCTCGAAAGCCATTCAAGCATAGTTCACGCGGTGGCCTTCTCGCGCGACGGCCGACTACTGGCGTCTGTTTCTGCTGATAACACAGTGCGACCCTGGGGGTTTCCGTCAAGCTGAGAGGTGGTATCTCATCACTAGGATGTGGCTGATTCAGTGACTACAGTCGAACCTCTCTTACGGTCTAGACTATTCATCGCGTGAGATATACTCAAAATGAGATACTTTGTTTGTTCTAGCAAGATCAGTAACACACCCTCTTAGCAAACCATCCCAGCTCTTCTTAGATCCTCAATTCCTGTTTCAGCCTTTTCCACGATTTACTTCCTCGCATCGCATGTTCTCTCGGAGTTTGAGGACCAGGATCAGCCATAGTCCTCGAGAACAGTTCCAGTGACACCCAACCTTCGTAGCCAAGGCGTTGGAAGATAACCTTCGCAATGTCGACAACCGGCAAATAGCCGCCCCTTTCAGTCTCAAAAGCGAACAGCCTGCAATTCCGGCTCCAGCTCATCCTTGGTGGTTGAGAAGCCACATGATATTCATGGCCCTGGAGAAGAGGGGTATCAAGGCGCTCAGCATCCACAATTTGGACATAGAAAACCTTGTTCACATCAACCCTTTGAACCAAACGCTCCATTGATTCCTTAAGAGCAGCATCGGCGTTGGGGACCGTGCCATCAATCGACGCAGGATCAGCCCAGATGCGACCGGCGATGTTGAATGTATCCAAGCAGCAACCAAAATTAGGACGGTCAACTTTCTCGACCACTTCCCACATCGCTTCCCAGGTGTCAATGTATGTACCCCATGCCAAATTCTCGTAGACAAAACGAACGGGAGGATCCTGCTGAAGACCCATATTTGCAACTTCAATCATGTCTTGAACGATAACGTCGACGTCGGAAGTGATTTCGGCGGCTGGTAAGAAATTGGCAGGGATTTGAACGAGATCTGTACCGAGAATCTTCACCAACTGAAACCAAATCTTCAGCTTTTCGATTCGTCGGGAATGTTCACTTCGGTCTTTCAGTCCTTCGTAGAACAGGAACGGCTGGAGACAGATGACGGTAAGATCATGTTTGTCGCATAATTGCCGAATTATTTTGGCCGCGTGGATTTGCTGCTCAGCCGGAAGCTCTTCACCAGGTACGGATCCAGCCAGATACTCGATATCTTCGAAGAAAATTTCCACGCCTTGAAACCCATGCGCGGCAGCCTGTGAGAGCTTCTCCTCCATTGTATGGCCGGCCCATGCCCGTCCTAGAGACATGGAGGAAATGCCAAGTCGATTGGGCATTGTTGCGTTTAGAACTCGGCACGCGATCACAAAGCACAAATTATCCCAAAGATTTGGTGACAGAGACTCGGATATATCTTGCTGAATTCTTGAAGATGCTTGGTTTTCTAGGAGCATTTCCTTTTCTTTATGATTCGACTTCCGCGTCTCACAACCCTGGCCAAGCCAGAATCGAGCGGAGTGGGGCAATGAGAAACGGAAAAGTTCACATCCTTGTCGGTTTTTTCGGGTGAATGTATGGTATTTCTTTGGTTTATACGATACAGAAAACCGGGTAAAATTAGCTTAGATGTAAGGAGGTCTGTCTTTAGGCATTTTTCTAATATTTGCATTTCTAGGAGAGCCAGGACTTTGATGGAGAGTGATATAGTGATGGACTGCGTGCTATTCGTGTGTGTATTTATACCAAAAGGCAGACCCGTGAACGCTATGCAATACAAAAAGGGGGTCAAAATCATGCATCCAGCCTAATTTTAACTCTATACACCTTCCTTAACCATCCAAGGACTCAAAGTTAACACTAGTATCATAGCCTACTGATTGTTTGGGACAAAATGCGCTTGATTTGCCACACCAGTGGCAGCGAACAATGGCCTGAGACTCGCTATGTTAAAGAAACCCCGTTTGGGCCTTCGATTAATCATTTCCACTTCATAGGCTCTCTCTTGAACAACTTCAAAATAAGCTCGTTCTCGCACGCGGCTGCAACATCAATACTAGTCCTCTGTCTCTTGTCCTCAGTCATAGGGTCCAAGCCCATATCCATCAGCCGCCTGAAACGTCTCACACCCACGCGTCTATCTCCCGAGCGCTTGCTTCCAAACGGATCTTCTAGCTTAATTCCAGCAAGGAGATGAAGTAGCGTAGATCCGTCATTTCTTCGGGCAAAAACATCAGCCCCAGAATTCAGGAGGAACTCGAAGGCGGAGTCCTTGTATATCTGGTCTTCCGCTGAACCGCACACGTTCTCATTATTTTGCTTCAAGAGGTCAAATATTGGTGTCTCCCCAATTTTGTTTCGCGCGTTGATGTCGACACCTGCTCTGATGAATCTTTCGAACAGGACTTGATCCAATTTGAAGAATTTGGAAATGTGGTGGAGGGCTGTGTCTCCATTTTTGTCTGGTTGGAGGAGATCCGCTCCATTGTCCAGGAGGAATTGAATCATTTCGGGACATTTGTCACGCAGGGCGTAATGAAGAGCCGTCTCATTGGCATCGTCAGCTAGGTGTATGAGACTTGGGTTGGCTGTCACAGCGGTCCGGAGTGCAGAGCTCACAATGATCCTGCGGCCGATGTGGTGCAGGATCGTTCTCCCCTCGTTGTCTTGGGCCATGACATCTGCCCCACGACTGATGAGCTCTGCAAAGCAGTCCATAGAGTTTAATATCTGGTCGGATGGTCCTACATGACTGCCATCATTCTTTGACGCGGCTAAGATCAGGGTGCAGCCATTCTCATCACGGCGCTCAGTATCCAAGGACGGCAAGTTGAAGAATGGGTCCACAATCTGACCATCACCCAGAAGCTCGTGAATTATAGTCGCAGTTGTGACTGGGAACTCCCTTGGCTCCTCAGTGAGTGAACTCCAAGGGTCGATAACCTGGTATTGCTTTTTATGAAAGGTAGCATATGGATCCGCCCCATGCTTCAAAAGTATATCCACCGATTGCTTCCTGATTGTAATGTTCGAGTTCAGTCTGCTCCTCCCAGCACTGTGAGCACTATACGCAGCCGCATACAGTAGTGGCAAGGTTCCGGATCCGACAGTTTTGAAATGAGCCGACCTAGTACTGTAGGAGATCCGTGCTGGAAGCGGTTCCCTCAATATTGAACTTCCGCTTCGAGAGAGTAGAACCTCAAGCAATTCTACCTTCTCAAGGTCTAGAGCAGAGACTATAGCGGACGGGCTGACTTCAGCGCCATGTGCAATCAAAATCTTGATGATATCCATATTGTCCCCAGCCAGTGAAAGACATGTGTTGCCCGCAGTGTCAACCGCATTGACATCCGCACCGGCTACTATGAGAGCTTCATAGGCTTCCTTGGAAAATGGGTGAGAAGAGTTGATGGCAACGATGAGTGGTGTCTCTCCCTTTCTGTTTTGAATGTTGATGTTTGCACCCATTTTGATCAAATACGGCAAGGCTTTGTCCACATGCCACCAGAATTTTCCAACGGCAAGTTCATGCAAAACCCCAGTGGTAGTTGATGGGTAGTATCCCTTGTCGCGGGTAATACGCTTCGTGCGTTTCGAATTTACGTTGACTCCAAAGCCTTCAACAATCAGTTTCAGGACGTCCATGTTGGGAAGTTGTCTTTCGCAAGCAGACATTATCAATGGTATACTGCACTGGTGGAGGTCATTTTCGTCTGGGTTTGAGGCCCAGTAAACGCCGTCAAGCTGCGTCGCTATCTCTCGCGTACACAAACGGTCGAGAATTTCAACAAACCCCCATCGAGCAAGCATGTTCAGGGATGTGTGTCCGTGATAATCGGGGACATGGAGGCTGTCCACTCCCCCTGAAAGATCTTCAAAGAGATCGTAGTATCTCAAAGCCAAAGCGTTCTCTGCTGAGCGTTGTTGTGAGAACAAATGGTGGTCCACGTGCCATTTCTTTCCATTTTCCCCTTCCTGTTCCCCGCGTTTCTCGAGGGCATCTTTTATTGCGTTGCGACAATTGATTGCAACTGATATTTGCAGCTGCCTATCGAAATCCTCAACCGTGGGGTGCCCTCCAAAACGAATAATAGGTGGCGAGGGAGATTGGATCCGCAAGGGTGAGAGACAAGAGAGTGTATATCCATATTCAGGGTGCGTGGAATTCTTCCACGCAGACTCTAAAGATCCATAGTCGCTCTCAAGATCAGCCCCATATTTGACAAGCAGGTCTATAATCTCCGCCATTCGTGTTGTATCATGCTCTGAATTAATTCTTCCAAAGATGGGGTCTGTATCATCCTCGGCTCGATCAAAGAATGGACGCATGTCATCCTTCAGCGTTAGACCTGCTGCATTGAGGCCCCTATTTGGCCGTGTACCTGGCGGCCTTGCTGAGGGCATTCGGCGATCCCAAAGCGAGGCTTCCTTTTCGAATTCCCCACACAATGCAAGTGGAGAGTGCCCGTGGATGTCAAGAACATCACAGGCTGCTCCAGCATCAAGCAAGGATTTCACAGTTTCAGGTCGGCCAGAACGGCATGCATAATGAAGGGCAGTTCGCCCATCATCATCCTGACTGTTCACAAAGTCTAAGCGTTTCTGCGCCGCAAGAGACTTGGCTCGAGATAGTATGATATCGATGATTCCAGATTGACGTGCGCGCGCGGCAAGATGAAGGACTGTCATCTTCTCATGTGTAGCCGCGCAAATGTCGGCCCCAGCGTTGAGAATCTTCAGAACAAAGGTTTCGGAGATTGTAGCAGCGATATGTAATGGCTGGATACCCTTGTGGTCACTGACTGTTAAGCATTCACTAGACTGTTCGAGGACGTAATCAAGGACCATGTAAACCGTGTCTCCATCCCAATTCACTACAAAGTCATCTCTTGAGCAGACAATATGCAAGACGGTCCGGCCTTGGTGATTGCGTTGATTAATGTTCATGCCCATGTCAATCAATCTCTCCAATACTTTTCGCTTTCTATTCAATGACTTATCAGTGACAACTTCATGGAGCGGTGTGTTGCCATCATAGTCTGACACCAGAGGATCGACTCCTAGGCTTTGGAGAAGAGAAAGTGTGTCTAGGCTGTCAATGGCACAATGCCACAGAGTACGACCTTTATAGTCACGCGTATCAAGACGTGCCCCCTCGTTGGCGAGGTGGCCCAGAATTTTTGACTTATCACGCAAAGCTTTGCATGGTGACAATTGAGCGAAAAGAACCGACTGACCGTTGTTGTTGCGTGTTTCAAGATCTGCTCCGGCTAGAAGGAGACTTTTCATTATTTCCTGAGTAACACCATTCCTCATTTCGTGCAATGGAGTGTTTCCCACTGCGTTTTTTAAATTTGGATCGGTGCCTGCGGCTAGCAAAGCGTCAATAAGCTCATGGTCGCGGCAGAGGCGCCTCAAAGCCAGGTGCAATGGACCGTCTCCTTTCGAATCGGTGGCATTCACGTCGGGCATGTAGGCTAAAAAGTCGATCACTTTCGGGTCATCAAATTTGTAGCCTGTAACACGAGAAAGGCGACAAAGCAATGGCGTCATTCCATCCTTTGCTCTGCGTTTATTGATATCCACTTTCCCACTCTCTAGGAGCAGTGATAGCGCTTCATTTTCGAGCGACGATGGGGAATGGAGAGGCGTTTCTCCATTGTCGTTTTCTGCAGCAGGATCAGCACCTGCATCCAGCAGAGGCTTAATCCATGCGATCGACGACTTGAGTGCGTAGTGCAAAGCTGTCGAGCCTATGGGGTCCATAGCGTGGACATTGGCGCCAGCTTGGAGAAGGACCTTCACAGATTGGGCAGCTTGGCTGGATGCCTGTTTTCCCCAAACCTTGTTCTTACAGAGAGCATGAAGTGCCATGTATCCCCTTTCGCAGGCGGAAGAAGACTTTTCCTTTGGTGAGCTCGCCCTAGAAGAGCGTCTGCTTCTGTCTTCATTGATACTTTCGCAGATGATGTTAGGATCAGCGCCACTTTTGATCAAGGCTTCGATTGTCTTGAGATGTGAACTCTTGCATGCCACGAATAGCGCGGTTTCACCTTGCAACTTGACGTTGACATCAACCCCAGGCTGTTGTAAAATTAGTTCCACAATGCTCGATCGACCTTTCTCGGCCGCCCAATATAGTGCCCTGTGCATGTCCTCTACAGCCTTTAATTTAGGAACAAACTCGACCACTGCCTCCAGATGACCAGCATGGCACGCGTACATCAAGGGGGTGTCGCCTATGGTGCTAGTGTCGGGCAAGGCGCATCCCCCCGTTGGTAGATTGTCTTCCTTTGTCTTTGGTGTCAACGGACTGACTCCAGCAGCGATTAAAGCCTTGACAGCATCTACGTGGTTCAATTTGGCGGCCAGATGCAATGGCTTTAGCCCTTCGCTCAGTTCAACATCTGGGTCAGCTCCATAATCAACGAGCACCTGAATAACATCTCCGTGATTGTGCGAAGCTGCCCAGTATATAGGCAAAGCCACAGATTCTTTCTCGGCGATTTTGCGTTTGGATAAAATATGTTTTGCGAGTTGAGCCAGACCAGTTTGGGCAGCGACGTGAAGGGGTGTAATGCCGTCAATTCCCCAGCCTGGCCAGGCCAGATCTAACCAAACATTGTACGGGAGGGTGTCTGCAAAAAGGGCATCAAGAGCGTCATGGAACATTTCCAGATTTACTCCCGATACCTCTGCCCGGTGGGCATGCTTGTACCAGTTATTTGCGGCGTACTCTAAGAATGGGAATTGTAATCGCAATTCTCTGGTTTTCTTTTCCCTCCGATCCTTGAAGTGGCGATAGTCCTCCATCGGTATTATTTTTGTGATCTCGATGTTGTCGAGACATCCTGTCCGCAAGTAGCACAAACATGCCATAGCAAGGCGCAAATTGGTTGAGCCAGCTTCAAATATCGGATACTCGAAGTTGTTCGTGGGTCTCGATCGCGTGTAACCATTAAGAAATTCGGTGAATGTGTGGTGGATGACCGATACAGTTTCATCGGGCAAGACTTCCAAAAGGGGTCCGCAAGCAGCTCTGACTAGGTCTTTGGTTTCTTTGAGGGTCCGATTGTATTCAGAGTGTATGCTCAGCATTTCAGCAATCTCAAGAAGTCGTAGTGGGCGTGTTGCGTGGGTGACAAACTGAAGGATAATGAGTTGGAGCTCAGGGGGCACATTCGATCGCCGAGCATGCTCCTGTAGAAGTTCATCATACATAGTGTTCAGGTCCATTGGTAGTGCGTTGAGGACTTCTTGCACATCTGCGCCAGGCTCAAGGAAGACATCCATGGAAATCTTCGCATATAGGAATATCCCATTTGCTCGACCAGGAATCGCCTCTTGAATAGCACTCCAATTTTCTTTGGCGATGGATGAGCCACAAAGCTTATACTGAACATATGCTGCGATATCAAGATCCACAAATCTTTCCTCTAGCCGTAGTTGCGGGATAGAAAAGGACCTCAAAGAAGTCTCCAAGCGGGCTATTGGGCGCGAGGTCATCAAAACCTTGACATTCTTTGGTCGCCATTGGCCTAGGGCAACCAAGCGCTTAAGAAATTCATCATTTCCCCGGTCCATCTCATCCAAAGCATCTGTTACACAATAAACCTTAGGGAAACCGTGCAATGCCATCATGAGGTCGCTCCAAAGGTCGTCTGGTGACAAACTATCAAGAGATCGACCTTTTGCAACATAGTTTTGTAGTTTGACTTGTAGCGGCGGGCTGTAGTCCAGAACTTGGCACAGCCAGTCTCGCAACGCAACGATCGGCTTGTGGTTAGCTTCAATGATTTGCCGGAAGAAGAAGTAGACCACCGGAATATTGGCTTCTTGTAGTTGCTTGATTATAGAAGCAGCCATGACAGATTTCCCGGACCCTGGTATGCCCTTGAGCCACAGCAAGCCATTATCATCAGAGTGCCACTGTTGATAAATTTGGGTCGATGTGAGCCAAGTACCGGTACCGAGAAGATGTGAGGCGCTATGCCTAGAATATTCGCTTTTTTCAAAATTATATGAAGTTGGCTGAAGCCATTTGGTGATTTTAGCAAGTTCTTTCACCGGTAGTGGGAGTATGTTGTCAGAGTTGAAACCCTGGACGTCTCCTGCACCAACCAGGACGGTATCCCTTTCGAAGTCTGATAAAGACATGATTGTATGATCTTACCTTTCCTGGGTGCGAAATGAGCGGGGGAGGAAGCTTAAATGAGAGAAATCAGGAGTGACCGGTAAGCGCTAAGAAATAGCTAAGACGTGGCCCATGCACACATCTATGCAGCCGCAGAGGTCCATCTCCACAATTACCCCGGAGGCTAGATACAATGATTCGTGGAAGTTGGGGGCTATGCAGGAGAATTCATCCATGCCATCGCATACATTGTATGCAGTACATCCTCTCAATTTTTCCAACCTAAACCTAGATCACCGTGGGTCAAGGACAACGCTTAAGCGAATGTGCTTTGCTTGGTGAGACATGCCTACACGTTTCTGTTTCTTCCTTAGCCCTTGACAACACAAACGCATAATTTCGGTTGGACTTATTCCTTCTATGCATCTGAGGCGATGCTCAGGTTAAGTCAAAGGTTTACCGTAAGTTGGTGTCGCGACCGCTTAAATGTGACTCAAGTGTCTTGAGCTTTACCTTGATATATATTCCATAGTGAAGAAATAATTCTGGGGGATTAAAAATCGACCAATTACTAGCTACCGAGCCAGAATCGCTGAGCGCCACTAGGCGTGCCACTTAACTAACCTATCAATCGAGGCGGCTACCTTGTCAGCCTTGAGAATCAAAGCCGGGAGTGAAAATGGCTCGGCAATAGGACTAACGATAACAGTAGTATAGATACAACATCAGGTCAACGTTTACGAAGAGATTCAATATTCAACACAAGAAAAAGGTAAAATTGTCACCGAACTTTCATCATATATATTGGGGGCGCAAAAATGGCATCCGGTAGGAGTGAAAAGATTGGCTAGCCAAGAGACTTTCTCTATACAAGGCGTAGGTCTGTACATTTCCTGATACCTCCGAGTTTGGATTCGAGCCTGCAGCGGTCCTTTCTCGGCGAACAGAGGCCTATGGGGTATAGATTATCAAGCTGTGTTTCAATAGATGGGCTCTACAATAAAGGCCCTTCAAGCGGTTTCGGGATGGATCGCCTGCTTGGTAGCAAAGATACAGTTTGAAAGAAATGGACCTATCCATGACCATGCAGTTTTGACGTGCCGAGGCAATCAGGAGATGTGGTAAGGGAACTCTCCGGGAAGCTTAGCGGAATTCATGACAAAGGAGCGGATTTCTGCCATAAATATTTAGTTCCTCTTTTGTTCCTCCTTTCTTTTCTTTCTCTCTCCAGGTTTGGTTCCTTCGTTGAATAGTACAAAATGATTCCCTCTCCATTCTCTCTTCTACACGCTAAGAGCACTCAGTCCTATCCGGGCGTCTCTATCCTCTACCATCCATCGTGGTGTCTAGATTTTGTCCATATATATGCGGTTCTGTTGCTATTCGACTTGAGTTACCGGCAAATATCTCTCCAGACAATTTTCGACTTCGACGGTATCAATATCAGACCTCTTAGGCCGTAGTTCTGCTGCGCGTCTGTGGGCGTAGCTATGATCTACTATCAAAATAAATCTGTGGGCTATTCACATCCCACAGTCATGAGTATCTTGCTAAACCTTCAAATCGAAGCGGATCCAACGAAATAAATGCAATCACTCAAAAAAGCCGAACCAAATCAGGCCTCCCTATCGCGGCCACAACCTATTCATCAGCCGCTGAATTTTTTCTGACCTGACAAAATCGTTACTGGTACTCAGATCATCCCCATCATCAACATAGCTTTGTTGTGCCTTCTAGTTTTGTCTCTTCTCAATTCAGCTACCCAGCACATAACTCCCACCTTTCACGATGAGAGTTCTCCAACGCAGACTCTCGCCCGTCTTTCACTTTTCATAGCCCTCTCGATATAAGTGAGACCGGATGTACTAACAAGCCGTCGGCATTCTCATCTTCCTAGATCTTTGGTTCTAAAATCATCAATGAGCGTGCAGAATGACGCGCGGGAGGGCTCTTATCAACTGCCGACCAAGAAGTTGCACTACTATTTCACCAAATACGTGGCGACCTATGAGTTTCCCGTCACGTATACACGTTCAGCGTCTTGCAAGCCCGTCTGCTCTATAGATAGGACCCCTTCCACATCAACCAAGAGTCAGTTTCATATTGATACTATCATTGCCTGCCTCTCGTCGATCCCGCTAGCCAATATAAAACTAGTGAAATGTTCAAAAAGCCTCGAGGTGAAGACGACTGCATTTCTTTTTCGTGGGCGAGAACCAAGCAGCCCTGGTTAAGTCCTTCAACAGAGAAGTTGACCACTATCTTTCTAGTATCCACAACTGCCGTCACGATCTAATGCACAATCTCAGATGCACCCCTCAACTGCCTTCATCACTAGAGTATGATATATTACCCCACCAAGTTCTCTCGAAATTCTTGCCTTCCTCATGATATGACTTTGAATTTGCCCGTACGGCGCTTATAGCCTTACACCCTACACACAGGGGTCTCCCAATCTTTTAAGCACTATGCCTTCAACTTTCTTTTCTTGATTCATCCTCTAATATATACGGGAATCACCAAGTTGAGGTACCACACACTTCACAGACACCCCGTCGACCAGGCGTGGGCGTGGGCGACTACCTACACGGAAAGTTCCGCCTGGAAATATGGCAAGCTGGGGGCACAAGTATGGCACAGCTGAGCAAAGGATACGTTTTGATGAAATTCCGACAGCAACAAGCTCAGAGTGAGACGCTACCGGATACCATACCGACAAACTGCCTCGAAAACTCGGTCACTCTTCACCATTACGAACAACAATCCCCTCGTGGCACCTTCGCTCTTGCTGAGGACAGAAAGACTTGAGCGATCCGTCATATTTCTACCACCCACATAGACGTTGTATATAAAATACCGATTATCTTCTCCCTTCACATTCACTTTACACGCGAAGCAAAAAGAAAACCCTCGATCGACTGAATTACCGCTCTTGAAAGCTACTCAAAGTCAACACTGTCAATTCTCCATGGTCTGATCAAGAACACGCTCGAGATTCTTACCTTGAAATCTAAGCACAACCCAAAAGATGCGAAGACATCCCGTGGCTGCCCTCGCATTCTTATATACCGTCACCATCGAGTTGGAATGCGAGAGAGAATCACCAAGTGGAACACCACCTAGGCGGAGGGTTCCCTCACATAACTCAAGCCACCTCTTAACAAACCTTGTTCCCGATATCCAGATGGGCGGAATCCGTATCTTGCCCACGCTCACGCTACGCTCACGCTACGCTCTGCGAGCTATGAGCCATGGACCAGAACGAAAAATGGATCCCGCGGTAGTTATTGTTGGACCTTCAACATGCAGAGGAGCGGGAAATCCAGGATCAGGATCCGGGCGATTCTTATCCAGTATGCACTGTACCTGCTGCTTTGTATATCACGGCTGCACCCATGGTATGATGCTTTGGCCTCTTATAAGCGAGAATCGGAGAACATGCTTTCTAGTGCCTGCTTTCGAGATCTTGGCAACGCTATGCTTCGCCTTTCCTGCCCAGGTTCACGATCGAGAGCTGAATCGTATCACCTAATCTGCCCTTCCGACTGTGATTCCATGGTCTCCATTCCACCAAGGCCGAGCTTGTATTCACAGTGCTATTCAACTTTGTCAAACAAGTCAGTCCAGGCATGCAAAGACCATGCACGAAGAATCTATTTTCCCCTTCACGGTGAATCAAATTCTCAGTCAAGGCTGGTCATGCTACGTATATCCTCCACATATGTGGAGTATCGTGGGATGTCCTTGATATCAGGGGATCCTTACCTCACCGTTATCTAGTGAGATCATGATGACCAGGTCGCATGTCTGGCGATCATTTGATACGGAGGTTGGGAGTTGCATCGGTCGCTCAGTCTGCTTACGATGGATTTCCATCGACGCAGCAAACCACAAAAGGGTTGGTTCTTCTAACTCAGTGAAATATTGAGAAAACTATTTCAAACCGAAGACACAATGCGATACTTGACTCCAGATAAACATCAACCTGGTTGAACCTAGAAGACAACGTTGAGCTCGGCAGGCCTCCGAGAAAGAAAAGCCTTAAGATAGCTGATCCCTCGAGCGACCGTCCCCACCAGCCCAGGCCAACTTCCAACAGAATTACCCGTGACATCAACAACACCCCGTTCCACAATGGACCAACTACAAATCCCAAGCTGGCCTTACTGCTGTTCCGCACTCCTCACCCGGTGGAACATCGCGGGTCTTCAAGGACAACATGTCTTCATCCTACCTCCCCAGCCTCGTCATCCTCAAACAAGATCGCGATAACCAGGTTACCTGTCTGCCTGGAATATTTTGGAGTAGGGCTGCATGAATCGATCAATTTTCCTCCCCCTCCTGATGGTTCTCAGTTTATCAGTCCGGCAGAGACAGCAACACCGTCCTGAGGCACGATGAGAAACCAGGATATATTAATAGATCTGGACACCCTACCAGATCCAGAATAGTATATGGAAGAAGGCGAGCTTTACAAGGCTCGAGCCCTCAATACAGCCCTCATAAGCACGAGCCAGAGTCACAGTCCAGACACACGGTGCGCATGACATGAACGACTCTCCACTTCCTTGCTCCAAAGTCAAAGGCGTGGTTAGAGTATCTTACTAGGACGTCCTACACACATGGTGGAACATCCGCGGGCCCTGAAAGCAACATTTCTGATGCAGCAACAGCAAACAATATCGTGATTATCAAGCTACCTACCTGCTCTGGATGGTCGTATGCGCCTGTCATGTTTCCTATAGTCGCCGGCGATCAAGTGGCCAATTCAACCAGGCCAAGGAGCTGTATCAGTTCTTCAGACTTGGTGCAAACCATGGAAAACCTTTAGGATCTGGATGATGACGAAGTCGGCACACAAGAAAGGGCAGCGAAGATTGTGGGATCCGGTGTTGAATAAGTAAAGGGGATAATCCAATCCCATGCCGAACGCTCGCCAACCACCAATATTTCTTCTCCAACACCTTACTCACCACCAATGAGATAGCCTTACGGGCAGTGACAATGGATAAGGCTGCGCAGA